ATAAATCCTACGGACTTTAGTCCGTTGTGGTATATTTTATAATTTCTCTCTAACATTTATATATATATATGTCGATGTTTGTCTGGATGCAGCCGTTAGATTCAAAACATATCACACGGCATGATATGAATTTTACTTCCATATCCACATATGTACAGGCATCCACTCACTCCTGGAATTTCCCATTGCATCGTACGCGTACTAACGGATCATCCTTACGTCATCACCAGAGGCCTAGCCGAAACAGCAACGGTGGACAGCGAAGAGCTCGAAACCCAACTGCAACCGCTAGCTCCAGAGGGCGAGGAATTGCCTGCAGTCACCGAGATGGACGACATCCTAGAAGACTGTATCAACTGCTTCAGGAACGTTGAGTTGAACGCAGCGCGAGAGTCAGCGCAGTCGACAGACGCGGAATTAGACGATCTAAGCCTGGCTGCCAAGGAGTTGTGGGAGCTAGACACGAACCGGCTAGAGCCGGATGTCGACTACCATGTGAATTTGCAGGATGGTAAGGACGCATACCAGAGTGGGAATGCGGCGGAGATGCCTCTGTTCCAGTATGTGGATAAGCACGTGTTCAGAAGGCCGACATTCGCAGCGTTTTACAAGCTTCTGGACAACTATGAGAGGAGTACTGGCCAGGAAGAGAGCGCGAGCAACACGGAAAGGGCTGAGAATAGCGACTTTCTTACCAAGATTATGCGCACGCCCTGTATGGAGTTCTGTTACAACTACTGCCGGGAGAAAGGTGCGTTGCCCGATGAGGTGTCTGACGGGCGAATTTAAGGCGTTCCTGTACACGCTGTGGTTCCAGTTCTACAGACGAGATAACCGCAATGACTCGTCCGGGTTTGAGCACGTGTTCGTGGGCGAGGAACGCGACGGCAAGGTTATCGGTATGTACCACTGTGGTCTGGATACTAGTCGCACTGCACTAGTTTTAGCTTGCTAGAACTCTCAGCTACGGTTGGTCTCGGCAGTTTGTGCGTTGCCATACTTTGTGCTCAGAGTTTGATACGAGCTGAATACAAAGTGCCGCTACATACCGATAGCTTACCCCTTGAACGTCATCAATATCAGTGTCTCGTTGGTATATATCTTTCCTTATTTATGTGCATCTGCATGTTACTGGCTACGCCCTCACACATTCACAATGTATAAACTCGTACAACAGGGCTACACAACTTGTTACAGTTGCTCATAGAGGAGCGTCGCAAAGCGCTCAATTACAAAGGATACGTGATACCCCGCAGACGCACACAAGATCCCACCGCCTTTGACCAAGTACTGACCCTCCAGTTCGAATGGGAGGGTGAGCTTGAGCCTGTGAGCACGTGTTTTATTGGGGTTTCCCCCGAGTTCGAGATGGCGCTGTACACTCTGATGTTCCTGTGTGGAGGCGAAGAGAATGAAGTGACTGTCGGGGGGTATGATCTAACGGTTGTGTGCCACAAGATTGGCCGCACGAACCCGAAGATTGGATCCGCTTTCCCAAAAAAGAGATTAGAGCAGTCAATAAATGGTACCTAATCGATCACAACCAGCGCAAAAGAAGAACAGATTTTTCCAAAATCAAGTTTTAATATAGTCGTGTCGTTACACCTGCAGATGGGAATTCGCGCTAGCCAGACTATTTAGAGCCCGCAATTGGTGTTGTACCGTAACGACTAGAGTTAGCGTACTGGTTTTCCATACCGTTGTTCTTACTGAAAGAATCAACGTTATACCTGTACGAGCCACCATCAAAGGTACCAACCATGTTTGTCTTCTCGCTACTGTCTCCGTGCATAGTGCATTCTAGACTAGAGCCACTTCCGCCTCCACTGCCGCTTTCGCTCGAAGACTGGCTCTGTTGCGTACCATTTGCATAGTTGTGTTGTTGTTGGTATCGGTGCTGTACAAACCCGTCGTTTGTATTGCCACTAAAATTGTTCTGTGTATTGCCACTTAAACTGTTCTGTGCATTGTCACAAAAGTTGTTCTGTGCATAGCTACTAATATTGTTCCTAAAGTTTTTCTGTGCATTGCTACCCAAACTGCTCTGACTATTATAGCCGTTTGAGCCTTCCGTACCATCTCCGGACGGGGTAGACTTTGTGTTGCTCCAGCTGTTGTTGTATCGATAAGTGTTCCTGTCCAATGTACTATTCGCCATGGCATTCACATCACCGTCGCCGTTCACGAAGCTATCGTTCCCCAGCATGTTCCCGCTACTATTCAGCATCTGATTCTGATTCCATTCCGGATATTGTCCTCCACCACTACCTCCATGTCCATGCATGGCACAAGACCCGCCACCATTGTTCGAGTGGGCATCGTTTCCATGGCTACATGACTGTCGCGGCGAATAAACCTCGTTGGCCGTATTGGGGCGTTGTATCCCATTCCCTTTCTGTCTGTGCCTCGGAGGCGGCAACTGGTTCTGGGGGCTCAGCTTGCGGTTGCTAATTTGTGCAAACCTTGGCGACCTGTTTCTCGGGTGCGAATGTGATCTCTTACGAGCATGGATATCATCATCATACAGTTCACCTTCTTGTCCTTGACTGCCCTGTCCTTGTAGTGCCTGCCCCGACTGGTTCAACATATAACGCTGCAGTGAATCCTGCATCTGAGTTCTGTGAGTGTAGTGCTCTCTTCCTCTTATAGGCTGAGTCATATGAAGTTTCTGACCACCAGATGTTTGATCATTAGCTATCCAGTTTCCAGTATTTCTTCCTCTATCAAACTCCAGTGACTGAGGCTTGGATTCCCTATTCTGAGTGAAATATCCAAGGGATCGTGTTCGTATAGTATTCGCACGTTCCACATGCTCCGACGGGTGCTTGTACAATCTGTCCTTGTCCACATTCGATCCTAGCAGTTTGGTTAAGTCAAAGCTGTTGCTAACCGCACGGCTCTTGAAGTTCTCTCGAGTTGATTCCTGAGTACCATTCTGCGTTTGCGGGAAGCTGTGCCGATTCCGATACTGCCCGTGTGTATGTCCAAATGTTTCACCGGACATATGTGGTGCACCTTGCGGATGCATACCACAACCACCGGAGTGCTGCTGTGAACCTTGTTGTTGTTGTTGTTGTTGTGATTCGTGTTGTTGCATGTTGCCATTCTGAACGTTATGTGCAGTGGAATGACCACTGACAATACCATGGATTTCCCCCGAAAAACTATCGAGGTGGTGCTCGTGGCGACGACCACCATGGACATGCGATGATGGCATAGCCATCTCTGTCTTCCTCCCCTTCGTACTCCCTGAGACTCCCAAATTATGCCGGGAAGCTGGCGAGTGAAACCGATCTATATCCCGCCGAGTATTTGTCCCCTGGTAGTTTTGACTGCTGCTCTGGGCGTCGTCCCGGCCCACACTGTCAAAGGTAGGCTGTCCTGGAGCGACTTGTCTGGAGGCTTGAGTGGTGGAGAATTTAACGCCAAGCGCACGTGGTGGTTTGCGGTCACATTTGTTCGCCGAAATCTCTTCCGGAGGAGGTCGGCCGATCCTTAAGACACTCTGGTGCGGGCTCTTTTTTGAAATACTGTTCTGATCCTTCTTTCCATGTCCATTCGTCTGCCACTGTGGTATTGGTACTTGCTGGACATTTTGTTGTGGTTGCTGCAACGGAACCAACTGTTGTGTGCCGTCTGGAAGCATAACTAGCATCATCTGATGGTTGACTGTCTGTGTTTGCGTGTGACCCCCAGCGGATATTTGCAATAAGACAGGCTGAGATTGTTGTCCCTCCATTTTTACAATTCCAGGTTGCCCTTGCATAGGTATAACCCCAGGTTGCGGAGTGAGTGTGCATCCGGCGGGCACAGCAAATATAAGACCTTGTGTCTGACTCATCTGTAGCGGCTGCTGGGGTTGCTGGGGTTGCTGTGTGCCAGACGGTTCACCGCGGAGGTTGTTGAATATGCTATCTTGATTGTGCTTGATTCGGTAGTGAAGATGTCGGGCGTGCTTGGAGGCGTACTTTCGTCCACATCTCTCGTACTCGCACATATATGATCGCTTCAGCTCGGAGTTGGACCGTCTATTAGTCTTTCCTTTAGCCTTGGGTTTCCTTTTGGTTTTGGGGGCAGTATGTAGCTTCATGTTTTCCTGCATAGAAATAATTGTAGTTGCTGCATCGTCAAGCTGAGTGGCAACGTCGCCTGTTCTGATAGCCCGAGCTCTAGGCGGCCCTTTCGGTACGCCCGATTTCTTTCCTCTTTGTCTTGAATTTTTGCCTCTAGAACTTTTAGATTCATCAATGGACTGTGCAGTCTCAAAATTCTCGAGACGTTCATTCGAGGTGCCTGAATTATGTCCCTGTCTGCCATCGACCGTGGTACTGGTCATTGATCGTATTTGCTCGGCCCTGTTACCAGCAGCAGCAAAATTTCCACTGTCCATTCCCTGGGTGGCACTAGACACACTTTTCTCATCTGTACTTCCTTCACTGACGCGCCCAGTCCTGCGGATGCGCATACTTGCAGACGTCTCTCCATCCGGAGATTGTGACGAACTTTGACTTCCACCACCGGACCTTGTGCTTCCAGTTGCACTCAGACCCATTGTCACTGTTTTACACTCACTGTTCGAAGATCCTTGTGAAGAACTACTTTTCCGATTGTTGCGGCTCTCACCGAACTCTGTGGCACCGCCACTTGCCGGACTACCACTAGTGCTGGCGTCAAACCCTATCTCAGCGACATTTCTCGTCTTGCTGTCACTGTCGTTGTTTGCACTGGAGGTCACTGTACATCGGTCATCATCGGTACGTGCACTGGCCGTGTCGCGCTTGACCGCGGTTCTTTGACTATCCTTCGAGTCACTGGACGTGGTACCTCCATCGGTGCTCGTCTCTCTTCCGATGCGCACTTCTTCGCTGTTCGGACATCTTCCTTCACCACCGTAAACGCTCTGGTTTTCGTCAGTTGCATTTTCATCAACATTCCCGCGAGCACTCACAACACTATTGTCACTGCACCTCGCAATTTGATTCTCACTAGTATCCGACTGCCTATCTTCGGTACTCGTTCCGCGAAGCACTGGGACTTCGCATATTGAACTTACGAAGTCCGAGTTTGCTCGACCATCCGTTGTTGCATCTTTTCCGTCGGATCCATTTCTATAGGACGATTTCTCTGTTCCATGATAACGAGTATCCAAAATACTATGCTCATTGTCACCAGGCCGATCCGGATTTTGTTTCTCACAGTCAGAACTCGAAAATGTTGGGTGTGGGACACGAGCATGAGTTAGGTTGGTATTGCTACCGCCACTCGCCTCGGCTCTGTCCGTGTATTCGTTTGAGTCAGTAAAATCATCCCCTGCCCGACCCTCGCCAAGACTAAATGTCATGGTCTGTGCGTCATTACTGGTTACAATTCCCGTTGCGTAACGGCGAATGACGGGCTCGTCGACATTGCTTCCACGTTGACGAGTCGTCTCAAAAGTATTGGAATCTGCCGAACTTTCGTGTCTGGTTCCAATCTTCTCATTGGTTTGCGGAGAACTGCCTCCATCAGAACCGCTGCTACTACTAGACTCCAGATGAAGTATTCCAACGATCGAATGACTTTTATAGCCCGTTCCGTGCTTCATGTTGGCTGACAACCAGTTATGATACATTTTTAGCTTCCTTTTATGTGATGTTGTATTTGCTATGTTGATTCCGAACAAACTTCGAAGTCTAAATCTTGATGCGGCACCTTTTCTTGCAGTGCACAAAGCCTACCGTATACCTGCGCGGCGTATCCCAATGAATTGCTGTTTATAATCTGATACGAATGAAACGAGTTACCACGTACATTAGTACCTAAAAATTTGTAGCGACAATAAAATACATCGACATGTCGGCACTCTCAAGCTACGTATGATTAATACCGGTTCAAATTAAAAAGCATCCGATGCCGGAACTATTAAGCACAGCCAAACTTTTACAAACCGACCTGATAAAAACGGCTAGAACGTACCTGTTCTCTGCTGACTAATCGCACCATTGAGATGGACGACAATTGACATAAATTTAGTGGAGATGTCTATCTCACAATGAAGTAAAGGCGTATATTGATAAATTAAATATATTTTTCAAGTATCTCTGATGACGCAAGTACACTACACTCTATATACTGATGGTCGATCCTCCGGTTCAGCGCATATTATACATATTGTCGACGCAAAATTCGACAACGCTGGCTGACTTCTTTATTGGCAATTGCCGATTCAACGAGTTGTCGAGTCTATTGGTAAAATTATTACTATCGGACGAGCTCTGTGGACGCTTGGAGTCAGGACTCAGGACTCAGGACTGTGGAGGCAGCTAAAGTCTGACGACGCCTGAGCCCGACCCGGACACCGCTGAGGGCATGAAGTGAAGGTGTATGACTGCGTTCATATATTTCTTTAGTTCTTACTTCATAGTGCATAGAGAGCAACAAATATAGAATGTCGCCGGACTGAGGAGTGAGGAGGACTCGCCTCAACGAAGTCAACGCTTTAAAAATGGATAAGAAGATAATATATACCATTTTCATTTGTCGTACAAGAATATTCTATTGTACGTGCGTCAATTTCACTCACGTTCCGACATTTGATTTGTTTCAAGGGGAAGTTTAAAAAGTGTATATTAATACTGTATAGAGTCGAATCAGAGATTTTACTTTCTTTTTTAAATAAAAAACAAATTGAAAGGTATCTTCGGAGATTGTAGATATTCAAAGGCCAACCGGACGACGGACTGTAAAGCTCAAGAAAATTTTGATTTTCCTTTCTGGGGGGAAGGATTACTATAAAAATAAAAGAAGGCTATAATATTAATATAGTTTTTTTATATATAAAAATCAAATTAGCAAAATATATAAAATTTCCTCATCATACATTTATTTCGGAAAGATGAACAAGACATCTTTTGTTCTTTTTGGTTCTTTTTAAAAAATAAAATCAATAACCTCTTGCTCTATAGTCTCTCTAGCTCTGGTCTTGTTGGAAACTTGAGAAGTTGAGTTGCCTGAAGGCTGAGACTTGAGAGCCTGAGACCGCTGACTCGCTGAGTCTCTGTCCCTCTTTAAAATTGTGTGAATAAATGAACAATACATTTTGTTTTTGTTTTTTTTTGTCTTTCTTTAAAAACAAACGAACCAAACCGATAAAACATCAGCAATGCTTCTCATTGGAATATCGAATATCTCGATAATAAAATGATGTTTCATGCCTTTGGACAAAATTGTTGAATGTATTTACGCCACTGTATATTTACGCTACCGTAAATTCATCGTTTGTTTTGTTTTTTTAAACAAATACGAATATCAGCAATATTTTTTTATTATTTTTATTTAAAATACGGGTATCCTTGATGTTTTCGACTACCTTAGGCTTGAAGTTATAACCTGTAAATATTTAATAATAAAAACAGTGCTTACTACGAGAAAAAAACCCCACCAACCATAATTCCATATCTATTCTACTTTACTAAACCACTCGTAAGTGTTATACAAGCAGTCCAGCCATACCTAACAGACCAGTCTGGCATGATAGCATACTGCTTTATTGGTCTATGGGGGATTATATGTGCGCGTATAGCGAGTCTGGACGTGTATTTCGGGTACCTCATATTCTCACTGGTACAAAAGATACTAATTAGAATATGTGGTACCCGAAATACACGTCCAGACTCGCTATACGTGCACATATAAACCCCCATAGACCAATAAAGTAGTATGATATAATGCCAGAATGGTCTGTTAGGTATGGATGGACTTGTATAACGCTTACGTGTGGCTAGTTTGACCCAGTTCTGGTACAAACTGAAATCATTCATAACTTTTTAACCAATAGTCCGATCGAGATGAGATTAAGCATACGTTTATTATTCGTCAAAATGAAGAGATTGTGCTATCTAAATGCCAAATGAGATTGTTTTTTAAAGCCATCTCTGGGTCAACCTCTATAGTAAAAAGTCTGGGCCTATATATATATATTATATAGGAAACAGCTTGAGCTTTTTTTAAAAATAATATAAATAGTAGTAGGGTCCTAAGTCCTAACCATTTTTTTTGGAGTTCAGTTCGACAGATTTTCAAATATTCAAAACAAAATATGTTGTTGCAAACCCATCATCGACAAGTCGACAACCTTGTATTTTTTGTTTTTTAAAAGAACAAAAACAAAAAAACAATTTAAAAAATAAAAAGCAGCACAACGAGAGTTATTCTGTATTTTTTAATAAAAGGAGAACCAGGGCCCACGTCCCTATGCTCATTACATTATGGGGGTACGCCGGAACGGAATAGAGGTTTAACGTATTCACATTTTAATTCAATTTCGAAACGTTATAACCGTTGAAATGCGATCAGAAGGTCTTACCTAAGTTCTTTTTAAAGGACTGGTTCGTGTGATAAAACGGTACACATTTGAACTTTTATACCCGCAAGGTGCACGTTTTATTTTAAAAAGGACCGCACATAAAAAGATGAGCGTAAACTTATATTTATTCAACGGTTTGAGGTTAGCGGCACCTTCTCTCTCCCTTTCTTGATATTTTGGATCTGTTTGTATGTACAATGACTCATACTCATGAATTAATGCCATCGGTTTTGAACAATTGCACAATAAATTTGTACATTCCTATTTTTAAATGTTTAGGGTCCATAACTCAAATATGCAATCTGAAACTGGAGACTCTTCAGAGATGGTGTGTTCCAGAATCTGTGTTCCAGAATCCAGAACGTTTGCGTTTATAAATTTTTTTGTAGGGTTTTTTTAGGTTGTCTTTTCTGAAATTATTGACTTTTCAAAAAACAAAAATAGTGAGAAAAAACAATTCGCACTGTGTATTCCAATTTTTTATACCCACCCAGTCACCCACATGTAAATATTCTACTCCTGCGGTTACGGACTATAGTGTCATTTTTTTGTCATTGATATTTTTATTTATTTATTTATTTATTGTTTTGTTTTGTTTTAAAAAACAAAAACAAAATAGAAAAATAATACAAGAGAGTTCAAATATGATTAGCTGAAATGCCAAACGGGGGATATTTAAAAAAAACTAATTTCTTTGGATGATGGTATTTATTCTCATGCAAGAATGAGTTGAATGTTTTTTCTAACCACAAGCTCAAAAATTCTTGAATAGTGAAAATCCAAATGACTCATGTGTGTTCGTTCATTGGTAGATGGCTATTTCGTAAATTCTTAAGAATCCAACATTCCATTTGCTTCATATTTTGACGACGATGCTAACTTTCAGCCAGTAGTTCAAGTGAACAGTATGATTACTATATATAATTGGTTGTATCTAGAAGTTACTTCATTGCATAGACAGATTTTAGTATGAACCACTCATATTTGATTACTATTTTATCTATATTGTGAATCAATTAAATATCACTATTTTCAGCAAGGCTGTTCGTCGTCTCAATTTTGATACAAAAAAAGAAAGGTATTTTTAGAAACAAAATTCAAATGGCAGGCATACTGTGATGCTGCTCGGTGATGAGTACCCTCTCACATTACTGTTGCAGGAGTAGCCTGCAGATCTATTATAACGTCCAACGGACACACACAAGGGGCCACAGTGGCAGTGTGGACACTGTCACAGTGTCGCACACCCACACTCTGACAGTCTGACACATGCAAGAATTTTTATTTTATTTTTTTAAACAAAAAAAGAGTGTGTGAGATTGGGAGGTTACTATTACTTGCTACACTTGTTGAGGAATGAGGACTCTTGAGTCTTGAGGGATAGGGCTTTAGCCTTTATTGAGTTTACAGAGATAAATATCAGGTAGACAGGGGTACAGTGTACACTCAAGTCTCAACACTGTGACTGTAATCCATAACTCCATTGCAAGACTAAAAACTACTGCGGCAAACATAAGACCAATAGTTGTTGAATTATTAGAACTATTGATTCTGTGATTGTATCACTGAGAAGTATGGGCCGCTCTTGCCTCTTGAGTCTTGACCAGGCCTGGGAAGTGGGAAGTGGGAGGTGGGAAGTGGGAAGTGGGAGGTGGGAAGTGGGAAGTGGGAAGTGGAAAGCGGGAAGTGGGAAGTGGGAAGTGGGAACTCATGGATGCCCCAATTGGCGATTGCCCAATCATATAGTCCATATTATATACCTCCAGTATTCCAGTAGTCCAGTACAGAAGTCAGTCAACTCATAGCTACAGAATACAGAATACAGATGTGCCTTATTACATATTTACGTTTTTTTTAAACGTACTGTAGCTCATGCTACATACTTCGTATTTCCAATTTTTCTCTACATATTCCATATTTTCGTTTTGGCGGTCCTCAGAACTCCTATATTGGTCTCATATTACCGAACATTGCGATTTTAGACTTTTTAGGGTGTTTTCTTCACTGATGAAGCCAAATTGAACCTCCAGACTACCATATATCCACATAGTACTCGACTCAATCCTCTAATTTTAGGTCGCATATTGCTTTTTTTTTTCACCGAAAGCGTAGCTGTAGAGTCCCTATTTCTTTTATTGAACTTGAAATCTGTCTGTAACGCTTTTTCCCCATTTGTAGGCCCCCGGAATCCCAAATGTATTATTTTTTTCAAAAAATAGAGCATACCTTTGTGGGTCCGTTTATTGACGGCTGAAAAGAAAAGTTGCTGTATAAAAAAAGGCGGGGGGGCGTTCCCAGTATCTCACCCTCAGACCTCAGCTCACCCTGCGCGTATATATTCACAAGTTAATAGCTACCCTCTTAGGAGAAAGGCTT